CCCAATGACCTGATCTTTAGGCCCGAAGACTTCAACCTTACGAGTTGTTGGGTCTTGCTTGATCCAACACAGCGTAAAAGGACTTTCAATGGCTTTTACTATTGGTCCCCAAGGGTCCTTTGGTACTGCTAGTAAAGTCGGTTATTCACATGCGAGTCGGGCCAAGGGCCCTTCGCACTCATTTTATCCCCAACCGACTAATGGAGTTATCGAGGTCTTCGTGCCCTCTTTCTCTTCGGATGCGGGACTACAAGAAGTCAGGGCGGTTGGATTACGTAAATAGTACGGACGACGCCTACGGGATCGTTTGTATAATTGTAAACTGGTCGTTTGCGTAACGCGTGTTTATAATAATTCACAATGCGCAATAATCCGACGTCGCCTGGAATCAATGACTTCACTTGCCGCGATGGTACACAACTACATGGAATTCAAAGTGTTAGGAAAACATCGGGTTTTCCTAGGGTTTCTCAATACATACAGTTTCGAAATGTACACAAGTTTTATGAACACTTTTTACGACTATTGAAACAAACAAGCATACTTATGGATCTTCACAAACTTTTTCAGAAACTCTTTTCAGAAAATATCGGATTTTCTAGTGGTTTTCAAAATGATACAAAACGTGCTTTTCAATTACCGCTTATGAACTCACCAACATTTCATATGTTGACGTTTTTCAAAATACTTGTATTCTCAGGTAACAAGTAAACCGAGGAAAATTGTATTCAGTGATGGCTTGCAGTTTGTTATCTACAATCGAACAATTTATTTTTGGGAATGTAATGTTAAACAATGTACTCAGTGTAAACTTTATCGGTTGTACTATATTAATGCATGGTGATGAATGATGTTATGTTTCATATATATTCAATGTTGTGGTATTCAATTAAGTCACGACAGCCCTCGGACGTTTCCTCCGTCTGGTTCGGGGGTGTGACATAAATGCATCATGGCTTTTATGGGTATTTGATTCTTCAAGAAAAATATAGCAATAAAAACAATATGCTCTATCTTTAGTTTTAGAATACTCAAGCCAAGGAAATTCGTAATACCATTTACATTGAAAACGTCGTGGGTGACTTTTTGAACCGGATGGAGGATATTTAGGCAACATAGGTTGATGTGGCCCCGATCTTAAGTATGCGCGTCTGATTTCATCCTTCATATTGGCTGCATATTTCCATATAGGTAGACGTAGGCCAGGATCATGTTCAATAGAACAAAATGTAGGATTATCAACCGTTGAAAATGGTGCAGGGCTCTTAGCCGTTGAAGATGGTAGAGGGTTACCATCTTGTAGAGGTGTTTTAGGGTTCCCAACCGGTAATGATGATGATTTCGTGTTTTTCTCTTCGCCACTTGGTAAGACATTACGCGTGAAAAATGAATCCAATCTTTTTTGCTTTGTTCCCATTGTTCATACCTTAATGTTAAATTGGATAGAAGTTGTTCAATTAAAAAATTATATAAGATATAAATAAAACAAACTGATTAATTAAGATAAAAACAAAAAACAAACAAACCTGGTGACGCTATGGAGATTAAACTTTGAAGTGTTTTAATTGCAATAAGAAATTGGAACGACTATGCAACACGTTTCAAAACGACAAAACCTTATTTGATTGAGATGCCGACAGTATCCCTAATGTAAGTGCAAAGAGAAAAAGGAAAAATAAAATAAAATAAACAAACTTAAAAGTTGTAGACGGTGGGCCATTTTAGCCCAAAATTTGTTTTAACTAAGGAAATTATATATATATATATATATATATATATATATATATATATATATGTGTGTGTGTATATATGTATGTATGTATGTATGTATGTATGTATGTATGCTCAAGTTATCTAGGGTGGGCCATGGCCTACTCTTGCATCTAATCAACTCTGTCTCTGATACTAATCATCATACACTTTGAGCAAGATTACTTCGAGTATATGGAATTAAACAACAAAGAGAAAGGAAGGAATTCACCCAAAAACGTTACTGAGTTCCAGCAACAAACAAAAACGATGATTCTCGACATCCTGGAGCTAATCACAACAATTCAACCATTAAATATTAAGGTCTTGATGTTAGGAAGCCGCTGTACAAAATCAAAGAAAACGGAAAACGGACAATTGGATCTCCGGGAAACGAAGGAACACTATAGGTGTATCTTTAAAAACAGGAATTCATAAAGACCTCTTTTGCTTCTTACTCTCTCTATGGTGGCTATAATTTTTTTTTTGTGTGTGTTTTTGAAATTAGTTCAGATAACATATATATACATGGGCTAAAGAAGTGGGCTTTCCTCATAGGCTAAAAAATCCTAAGAGAAAACCCAACAAAATTGGGTATTTAAGTAAGGACTAGTTTTTGTTTGGCATTAGATAGCTTGGGTTAGTGGCTCTATTGTTGTTGTTGAGCTTCTGCTGTTTAGTTTAGGTTAGTTTTTCACTATATTATGTAGGATGCTAGACTATCTTTGTGATTTTTATATGAAAAACTATGGGATGACCATAACAGTTGTATGAAAGACTATGAGATGACCATAACAATTGTATGAATGACTATAGGAGGACCATAACAATTATCTGAAAGACTATGAGAGAACCATAGCGGTTGCATGGAATACTATGGGAGGAACATAGTAGCTGTATGAAAGACTAACGGAGGACCATAACAAGAAAGACTATAGGAGGACTGCAACAACGGATGTGATTGTAAAATTATGGGAGGACCATAACATTCACATGGGTTGAAACATACCCGATAGCTGAAATAAACCGTAATGTTATGTATGTAGTATCTTAGGGAACTCACTAAGCTTCGTGTTTACAATTAGAATTTTAAATTGTTTCAGGTTTTCTTGTATTGATGGAAGGGCGCGACTTGATCGTATCGCATCCATTAGAGAATTCAACAATTAATAACTATTATAGTTATACTCTAATTGTTGTTTTGGAAATGAATGGCTTTATTTTGTATCTTTGAAGTTGTAATTGGAACAAATTCTTTTAATATTAAATGAAAAAAAATCTTTGAAATTTGGGACATTACAATTTTAGAGCCAAAATTGCAAATTGGTTGAAGTTAAGGAACAAAATGTGTATGATCCAATAAAGAATTAATGTAATTTGGAAGAAGAAGAATGGAAAATAGAGATTAAGGTTGTGGATTTTATAAATAAAAAATATGATTACATCTATATTATTCTTATAAAATTATTCTTACACACATAAAAAAATTAATAATCAAACAAATATCGGAAAACTTTGATAATTGTACCACTATTTTATTATTGATCTATGCATAACTTCCAGTAAATTTGACATTTGGGGACCATCTTTTTAGATTTCCCATCTTTTCCATATAATTTCCCATCCTTATAAGGAACTACTTGATCTTAACTTATATAAACATTAGCGTATAATTCAACCCGAGAAATCCCTAACTCTAATAGTTCCTCAAGCAAGCAAAGAGTCGCCAACTCGTTCCAAAAAATAAGTATCGATTTGTAAAGGCAAAGATACACTTAATTCAAAGATCATATAAATTGAAGTGTAAATTTCTAAGGTTGCAAGCTTATTAATGGAAAAAAAACATACTATTATTGACGATGTGAATAATAATATGGAAAAGATTAGAGATTTTTTAATAGGAAACAGAAGACCCACAATATAGTATCATTATTTTGCTTTTTGGGTAAAGCCTCGATCTTAGAAAAGTTTGGTTGCGTCTTAATTTGATTGTTGTGAGACATAGAAAAGTTTGGTTGCGTCTTAATTTGATTGTTGTGAGACATTGATTAGGAATGCTAAAAGTAAGTATGGTCTGTTGTTAGACTTGGTATCGACTTTAGGAAAGTTTGATTACGTTATGTTATGGATATTTAGTTATGGGGTTTTATGTTATGAAATTTTATATTATCCATGTTTTATGTTTTGGAATTATATATTGTGCAATTTTATTATATGAGATTTTAAGTAGAACTCTTGTATATATGGTAGTTGTGCTCATTGATCAACATCTTTTTATAAGGGAAGAGGATAAGAAGAATCCTATCAAAATATATTAAGAATTTGTAATTTGATATGATATTCACGTGTGTATGGACCAGATGACAAGGCATAACACATGATTCATGATTTTTGAAAGAAATTACATTAAACTAGACTTCTTATTTTTCATTTTCCTCCACAATGTATGTCATCTTTCTTTAAGTTTAATTATTTAATTAATTATGTATTTTTATGTAATAATATTATCACTCACATTTACATATAAATATTACTTGTCTGACATTACATACACCAATATTCGAAACTTTATAACTTTGTAATACAATGTATTGTCGAGACGATTTTCAACAACAATCTGCATAATTACACAAGAAAGACCTAATTATGCTCATGCACAACTCATAAATATTATTGAGAGTTCTCATGATGCTTTGAATGTAAGATAACCAGTCATAAAACAAATAATTCATTATCCCTTTTCAATAAAAATAAACATAACACACTCCCAGAATTTATAAAAAAAAGTGCAATATTCAAGATCAATTATTCATGAATTTGAAAAGAAACACCATGTATACTTCTAAATACAAAAGTGCAAATAAAAAAACTAAGAAAATCTACACAAAAATAGAATCAGGTTCTAAAAGGAATGAATATAATCTATATGAGAGACCATATTGATAATTAATTGTTTTTAAATGTTTTGAAATCTTATGCAAAATATTTTGTTTAATTTGGATTCTAGTATGTTCTTATGGATTTTCAAGCATTATATTTAACTTTATATTTTATATAATGTCTTACATTTTTTTATAATTATTCAATAAAATGTTTAAAAAACACAAATATTTCATTCAAACATAAAATTGTTCAAAAAGTTCAAATAATGGTATAATTTTATGAAAGTTAAACTTTTTTCTATTTTTTTTTCCAACTCAAAAGCAAATAAAATAATGGTATAATTTGTTGTATTGCTTTTTTCTTTAACAAAGTGTTAGGGTTACTTAACACGTTTCTTCTTCCAAAATCAGGACTAACTACTACATATCAGTGTACAACTCTCAATGCATACTGTACAAGTCATAAATGCATAATCATTTTGGATCTTGAGAAATTATGCTCTGGCGAAGGATTTTCCCAAAAAGACAAACAAAATCCAAACCACCACCGCCCCAACCACCACAACCACAGCTTACGACGACCACCACCCATCCACTACGCATACAATCAAACCCCTCGCGATCGTCACTTCCAACCACCGCCTCCACTTCCACCTTCACCGGCGCCGGTCACTGGTAAGAACAAAAGATGTTCAGGGATGAGTCGGCATGCAATACTTACAACTATGGCGACTCCGTTTACTGGGATGCTCGATACATTCACGAGGCCTCCGCCGGTTCATTCGATTGGTATCAGCGTTATCATGCCCTTCGTCCTTTTGTTCGAAAATACATTCCTACCTCTTCTCGCGTCCTTATGGTTGGTTGCGGCAATGCAGGTATACTGTTTCATCCTCGATCAGCTCTCTCACTTTAATTTCTGTTCGATGCATACAATTTCTGTAGTTTTTTTAGAAATTCGATACTATTTCATCGAGGTGAAATACTGTTACTCTCTTTTACATGTCATATGGGACAATTATTTAAATATGATGTGCTGGATCACTGTTTCAAGCTATTTTTCTGTCTCATAGCGATATTAAAGATCGAAATTCTTAGTAAACTTGATTTTTTTTGTACTTGGAGTTTGAATTTTGTTTAGAAGGGGATTAGGGAAACATCGGTGCTTTACATGATTGAGATAATCATGTTGAATTTTCTTCTTTCCTCCCCCAAAATGACAAAGAACAGGGTATGGTTGATGAATACTTGTAGTTATGTTGAAATTGTTTACAAAAGAATGTAATTTCTGATGCATAATTGAGGCAGACACTCCATATACCACTGACTTCCATATCTTCATTAATTACACTCAACTTGGTATGAAAGTAGTTACTTTTTTAGCTCCTGAAAATGAATGTAACAATATTGCATTTGCTTTGAGCCTTTGATCCAAGTTTAATTTGAGAACTCAGAGAGTTATTCTGTTTATTGCATAAGAGTAAAAGTGATTGTGCAGCCATTGTTGTTCAAATAGTATGAGGGCATCTTTGTAATTTCTGTTGGATTCAATATTTAGCTTTATATGGTTGATTTGGATGCTGTTTTGAGTTATTTGATATAACTCTTAATAAGCAAAATAGGCTTCACCATAACTGTTCAATATAATGTTTTAACTCCCAATGTTTCTTCCTTGTTAAAATTACTCAAATACCCTTTTAACCCCCATAACGCATTAACGCCTCATGAAATCCATTCCATTTCCTACTAACAAAATGCACGAAAGATTCTTCAAATTCTAATTCCATAAATACATTCTTCAATTTTTTTGTAGTTATGTCAGAGGACATGGTGAAGGATGGATATGAAAACATCATGAATGTTGACATTTCATGTGTAGCTATTGAAATGATGCGAAGGAAATACGAGCATATTCCTCAGTTAAAATGTATCCTCTCTCTTATATATGTCTTATTTGGGTTTTCAAGATTTTTTTTGTTATAAATATAGTAATTCCTTATAAATTATATGTAAAGATTTGCAGATGGATGTTCGGGATATGGGCTTTTTTCTTGATGATTCATTTGATAGTGTAATTGATAAAGGTATACACTGATTTCTTTAGATTCATATGGTTTTAATATTAAGCTTAAATGCAAGAAACTATTAAAGGGTCCTATTTCCGATTTTTTTTTCTTATTACAACATTTTAATTTAAATGGGTTTTATGCAGAAAAGTCTTATTATTTTAGGAAAACTTTTGATAAAGTCCTAATTTTTTTTAACAGAAAAGTCTTGATTATTTAATATTTTGTCCAAAGTCTATTTTTATTTGAGTAAATTACTGAAATCGCCCCTATGGTTTGGTGAAAACTACGTGTTTGGTCCCTAACTTTTTTTTGCATTCGGATTGTTCCTATGGTTTGATTTTGTTGCATTTTTCGTCCTTATGGTTTGGTCAAATTTGCACATTTGGTCCCTAACTTTATGTATCTAACGGATGAAAAACGCAACAAAATCAAAAAACAAAGTTAGGGACAAAACATGCAATTTTGACCAAACCATAGGGACGATTTTAGTAATTTACTCTTTTTATTTTAACAGGAAATGACAGATTATCATGTAAAATTAATAATCAAGACTTTTCTGTTCAAAAAAAAAATTAGGACTTTTTCGAAAAATTTCCTAAAATAGTAAGACTTTCTGCATAAAACCTTGTTTTAATTTGACAAAAATCTACTCGGTTATAGCAATGCCATCAAATGTAAAGCATCTTAATTATATAATGTCCTGAAAATAAAGAAATTAAAAGTTTAATGTTATAATTGGTTAGATTTTTCAAACTACAATTCCATTATAACAAAAAAAAAAGTTTATATAATAGAATGAAATGAAAAGTAAGATGCTTTAATACACAAATATATAGAATTCCTTTTAGTTTTGAATATCTTGACTTTATTTATCATGTTGACTTTTATCAACTTTCCATCAACTACTCAATTTTTTACACATTTAACTTTGAACTTGGATCTTTCCACTGTTCCTTAAAAACAAATTTGTTAAATTCTGCATATAAAAAAATTGAAAATAGTGACACCTATCTGAATATAAATCTTTAATAATTAAAAACATCAAACTGGAGTATTCCACCAATGTCCCATTTGCAATTCTTTGTCCTACCCAAAAAGGTGAAACTCGTCTGTGCAAAAGACATAAATGCCCTCCTCAAATTGGTGGAAATTAAAAATTTTAAACATGTGTTTTATATATTAACAATCATTTTTTTTGCGTTCTTTTGCATGGTTTCTGATCTGCGGGTTTTAGGAACTCTTGACTCACTCATGGTAAGCTCAATTTTTTTATTTTTTTATTTTTTACTTTTTTTTACTTATATTCTAACTTTCTTCATTTTTTTAAAAATTTTGAAGTGTGGAACTGATGCTCCACTTAGTGCTTCTCAAATGCTTGGGGAAGTCAGCAGGTTTTATTTTCAATAAACCCAAATATAATTTCCTTTATTTTATAATAAGTTAATAATAACATGTTTTATTTTATTTGTAGGATTCTTAAACCTGGAGGGATTTATATGTTGGTAAAACATTGAACCTTTTTTTTTTAGTAAACTACACGAATAGTCCTTATGGTTTATAGTAATTTGCGCTTTTGGTCCCTAATTTATTTTTTTAACTCGGAAGGTCCCTAGTATTTGTTTTTGTTACACGCTTGGTCCCTGTCTTACCTAAAAAAGACTATTTTGCTCTTGATTTTTTGATTTATTTAAATAAACACATCTCCAATTTCACCCCCCCCCCCCCACCTTGCCTTACATAGCTCACTATTTTTTACTATTTAAATAATAGTCTTTTTAGGTAAGATAGGGATCAAACGTGTAACAAAAACAAACAGTAGGGACCAAATGCGCAACAAAAACAAACAGTAGGGACCTTCCGAGTTAAAAAAAATAAGTTAGGGACCAAGCGTGCATATTACCCCAAACCATAGGAACCATTCATGTAATTTACTCTTTTTTTTTTCTAACTTGTAATTTATATTCCCTTTATAAAAACTAAATAGTAGACACTATTAATTACTTCTTATATCTACAGATTACATATGGTGATCCAACGGTTAGGATGACTCATATAAACAAACCAGCTTACAATTGGAAAATAGACTTGTACATCATACGTAAGTTCTTTCTATAATTCATTTTATGTTCCTAATAGTCTAAATAATTTAATTATTTGATGAATCTACCAATTTATAGCATTTTACTTTTGTTTTGTTTTTATAATTGGATAGATTTCAACCCAATAAGTGTCTTAAGGCTATGTTTGGTGCGCTAGCTGATAAAAAAATGGTGCTTTGTAAAACTAGCTGAAAGATATAAAATGGCATAAAAAGGGCATTTACAAGAATGTGTTTCTATAATTAATTAAAGGGTACATTTGGGAAAATTTTAAAAAGCTCCTTAAAAACTAGTAAGTATTCGATAAATATACATGTAGTAAAACATAACGTAGAATACTTGTCACAATCCATGAGATACTTGTGTAAACTTCTAACACAAATTGAGAATTTTATCATGTACTACAATTTAACAAAAATTTGCATTTAGACCGGGACAAATATGTGTGGGACTCGCTCATAATCACTTGTTTGTGTAAAAGACGTAAATGCCCCCATCCTCAAAAATATCCAAAGAAAGCTTTCTAGGGATATTTCCGATGATGAGGATGAAGATATTAACGTCTTTTACACCTATGAGATCCAGAGTGAGTCTCTGTGTGACAAAAAAAATTTCAGTTTTTGTCTTGTTGACATCAGTCTTAGTTTCAGTCCAATGCACGTCCAAAACAGTATAATTTTTAAAAAAAATGATAAACCGCACCATCTGAACGGACCACGTGGGAAGTCAATCGCAGACAAAAAAAGTTGCAGTTTTTGTCTTGTTGACATCAATCTTAGTCTCAAACTCTCAGTCCAATGCACGTAAAAAAACAGTACAATTTTTAAAAAATAATTGTAAACCGCACCATCTAAACGGACCACGTGGGAAGTCAATCGCGAACAAAAAAAAATTGCAGTTTTTGTCTTGTTGACATCAGTCTTAGTCTCAGAGTATCAGTCCAATGCACGTCAAAAACAATACAATTTAAAAAAAAAAATTGTAAACCCCACCATCTGAACAGACCACGTGGGAAGTCAATGGCAGATAAAAAAATTTGCAGTTTTTGTCTTGTTGACATCAGTCTTAGTCTTAGTCCAATGCACATCAAAAACAGTACAATTTTAAAAAAAAATGGTAAACCGCACCATCTGAGCGGATCACATGGGAGGTCAATCGCGGAACACTAGCAATATTTTGGATACCAAACCCTGGACCTCCTGTGTCACTCAACCACTAGGCTCCCATCTAGGCAATACAAAAAAAAAAAAAATTAAAAAAAAAATTAAAAAAAAAAAATTAAAAAAAAGCAGAAGAATTCAACAAGAAGTCTAAATGGATATTTTTTAATGCAGCTCGGCCGGGGTTTCAAAGGCCACCAGGTTCAACTTCGTCTCCTAAATCATGCCTGTCACCTGTTCCCACTAACGACAAAGGATTACTTCCTGCTGATTATGTTTTAGAAGATCCAGATTCTCATTTCATTTACATCTGCACAAAAACGGGTCAAGACCCGGATCTCAGTGACTCAGTTGCCTTCCTTTGACTCTTGACACTTAATTACAAATATCATTTATTAATAAACTGTTTGTAAAAGTTAAACTAGCGGGGTTAGATGTTCTTAAAATACCTAATGCTTTGTTCTTTTTTTCTTTCTTTCTTTTTTAATATATAGATTTTCATTGGATTGTTGATTTTGATGAAGGTAATTTTAATAAACAGTGACCGAAATTCATACGTTTCTACATGATTAGTTCACGAGTTTTGCTAAAATAAGGAGGGAGTATAATAAGAAAGGTAGGCAAGCAAGCAGTGTGGCATTTCCTTCATCTGGATGTGTCATGCATATTTACATCCATTTATGAGTTTGAAAAATGTTTTGAAGAATTAATCAACCACGGTTTCTGTCTAGAACACTAACAAAGAAAAACAACTCCACCTGTTAACTAACTACTTCACAAATTGGAGATAAATTCAATCCTCTATTTATTGATACCAAATGTTTACTTATAAGAATAAGTTATCTACATGCTAAGAATTCACCCCATTTGATTAATTTCGTATTTTAGAATCAGGATATTAAATACATACATCTAATGCACATACAAATGACTTCATGATCCCAATTGATCTTCTACTAAGGCTTAAGGCAATAGCATCTACTCTGTACGGTCTAGTCAAATTGACCACACACCCAAGGGATCAGGCATAGTCGTATGTACCTTTCTAGATATATAACTGGTAGAAAGGCTCCATTTTTCTTTGACCCTTTCCTAATTTTTATCGGTCTTGCTTTCATATTCTGGTTATCTTTTGTACTTTGTTTTACTGTCAAAGGGAACACTAGTCATTTTTTTTTTCACATAAACTTATTAATCATGTGATCTTTAAACACTCATCGGTTTGGTCGTCAAGAAATGTGTTAGGATTAAACGAGAATAAATCACACTTAAAGACACAATATTTAGCGCGGTTTGGTTAAATATGATATATGTCAACACAATAGGAGAAAGTAATATTATTCACGAGCTTGAAAACGATAGTACAGTAAACCCTGGCTATCAGTTGTGTATGCCTTTGGGCCTAACGACCATCAGCCTACTCCGAACACTTACCCAATGATATCATGTGCAAGGGCGGAGCCACCTTAGAACCAGGGTAGACCCAAGCCCACCCTCAAATTTTCATTTTTTTATGCATATAGAAATATGATATTATTTGGGTGTAAATTACCCAACAAACACATGTAGTTCAGCAGCAAGGCACTCTATCTTTGATCATATGTTAAGTGTTCGATCCAGTGCATCACAATTCCTTTGTTTTTTTTAATTCATTTCTAATGTTGGAGTTTGGTCCCTTGTATTAGGAAGTTAAATTCTTTTAATATAAGTAAGTTTTCAAAATTTACATATTTCACACCTCAATATTTATAAATTTGCATAATTCCATTTTTAGCTAATTTAATTTAGTTTTTAGTTGTTCTTATTTAGATTTATTTTTATTATATATATATATATATATATATATATATTATAATTGTATTTAAGAGGTCATTTTTTTGTAATTCTCTCTCTCTCTCTCTCTCTCTCTCTCTATATATATATATATATATATATATATATATATATATATATATATATATATATATATCAATTATTTTATAAGGAACACCCCAAAAATTTTTTTGCTCCGCCCTTGATCAGGTGTTAGGTTTATTTACTTTGATCATGTGGGTCAGTATCCATTTGGTTGTCAATTCTCAAGTCACATTTAAAAATCTTCACCTTGACTTAAGTATCACATAACAAGAATTCCTCTCTCTTGCCATTTTGCCTCGAATGGACTTCTTCTCGTGAACATCTACCAAGTCCAAGCAATGCTTGAACTTCTAGATGGGAAACGACTTTGTCAATATATCATTTGAATTCTACTCGGTATCTATCTTTTGATTAGAGAACCATTCTTGTTCCAACTACCCCTAAAGAAATTCAACCTTACATCAATATGTTTTGTCTTCTCATGACATACCATATTCTTTGCAAGACACAAAGGATTCTGATTGTCACAAAACAAGAAATTCGTATCCACCTTCAACCCAAGACTTTGAACTAGACCATGTAGCCATATGCACTCTTTTATTCCTTTAGTCATCGACATGTACTAGCAGTTGTAAACAAGGCAACATGAGGCTGTAATGTTGACTTCCAACTTACAACACGTCTGAATAAAGTAAAAATATAACATTTAGGTGATCTTCTTTCACCGGATCATCGATATGGTCCGAGTCTGGTTAACCAACCAATATATTATTTTGTGTGTTGGCACTATAAACCAGATGTTAGTTTTCCCTTCATGTATCAGGTTATCCACTTGACCGCTTCTCAATGAGCTTTTCCCGGATTACACATAAACTTGCTCACAGTAGTAATTGCATGAGCCACATCAGATCTAGTACATACCATAACATACATGAGACTTTCAACAACACTCGAATATGTAATCATGATCAAGTAATCTTTTTCCATGAGACTTTCCACAATACTATTTACATGAGCCTAATTAGGTCTAGTACATACCATACCATACATAAGACTTTCAACAACACATATATATTGATGATTACACAAAGTTTCATCAATAATCCAAATTAAATAACTATTTAGATTACTTACAACTCAATTAACTCAATCGATCTATTAACTATTATTCTATGTGATATAGGAAAATCATTAGCAACAACCATATAGTCACCAAACCACATATAAGATTTACTCATTTAAAAAAAAGGACTATTAAATTACACAACTCGTGTAAATTGCACAACTCACGCAATTCATGCAAAAACCTAAAAAAAAATGGCCATTAAACACTTCCATTATAATCCTATCAGCTCTATATAAAAATCTAACAACTTAGGATAGATCTAGTATGTTGAAAGAACAAGTCAAACACTTAGATTACCCGACTATGATAGTATTATCTTAGATTTATCAACGAATTGAATTACTAAAATTCCATTAATAAATCAAGATCCAAAATGAATAATCTATATGGATTTCTTCATTCGAATAGATTTTTCAAAGTAAAATGCTATAATAGAAAGAAAGGAAACAATGGAAGTACATTGCTATTCCTTGTAATTTCCTTTATTTATAATAACATGTCTTATTTTATTTGTAGGATTCTTAAACCCGAAGGGATTTATATGATGGTAGGATATTAAACCATTCTTCTACGTTCTAAGTTATATTCCCTTTATAAAAACTAAGTAGTAGATACTAATCACTCTTCACTATTTCTTCTTTTTGTAGATTACATATGGCGATCCAACGCTGAGGATAACTCATACAAAGAGACTAACTTACAATTGGAAAATAGAGTTGTACATCATACATGAGTGCTTTCTATAATTCTTTTTATGTACCTAATAGTGTATGTAATTAATTATTTGATATGATCAACCTATATGGGAAATGTATATTTATTATATATTTTTTCACCCATTGTAGCAACATACTTAGATGTTTTTTTTACCTATAATAGAAATGATACTCTTTTTTACTAATAATAGTAACGTGCTTACATTTTTCTACTGATATGGGTAATGTAGTATATTTTTTTGTACATTGCTATTATTAGTAAAGAAATATAAATATGTTGTTATTTATGTATATAAGTGAAAGGGGTGATGTACGTGACTGTTTCCTGCAATTTGCTTATTAAATAACCATATTAATTTAACTAAAGTTATAATTTATTGCTTGTGTCTTAATGTTTTAATTATTGGAATAAATACACAGTTGTGATATACTATTATTATTACAAGACAAAAGGCAATACTTTATTTAATTTATCATTAATCATAAAATCCAGGCTTTTAGGCCCTGTTTGGCAAAAATAAGTTAGCTTATTGTAACTTATTGTTTGGTAAAACCACAAAAGTAGCTTATTTTAGCTTATGAACTAGCTTATAAGGTAGGTATTGATAAGCTACTTTGAGATGGATTTTAAAAAGCTTATGGATATTCTGGAAAAATATTCCAAATATGCCATTAATTGTATATATTCTTTTTTCTTTTAGTTATACATATAAATATACATTTATGTCATTTTACATTGCCATTTAGCTTATAACCTACTTTTTACCACACACTAGTAATTCATAAGCTAGCTTATTAGCTACCAACTAGTTTGCCAAATAGGGTCTTATGGCTTGTTTGATATGCCTTTGGATTTGATAAGAGGGTGGGTCTGACTCGTTCAGATTCACATTGTTTGATATCACACTTAGAAGCTTCTAACTCAGTCATGGCATGACTCCTCTGATACACCTCTTACTCAGTCGGATTTATGATACAAGTTATCTCTGAATCAACAATTATCAAAGAGTCCATTCGTGTATCTTATTACTTTTCATATAAGTATATCACTTAATCCCCAAAAAATATTCTTTGGTGTTCAACATATTGAAATAAAATTAAAATTATAAAAGTCTTACAGATGGTGAAATCTAAACAATGATAACCATGATTTAATTTATAGATACGAAAGGAATGTTCTCTCTCACTATAAGGAGGGGTACTAAATGCAAGAAAGAGCAATGCACTTCCATGTATTTGTGTAAAATATTATCGTACTTTTATTTCTTTATATTACAACATTGCACTTACATTTTATTTTACTAAGGTATTGTATTTTGAAAAATCTATCTGAATATAGCATTGTACTTCCATTTTTTTTATTATGACATCAAACGTTGAAAAATCATACCCAATTATAATAGTTTTGTATCTGAATGACATTGTTATAATTAAGTAGATTTTTCAAAACACATTATTGTAACAACAAGAAATGGAATTAGGATGCTATAAACAAATTAATGAAAGTACCATGCTATTTCTTGTATTTAATCCTACAAGTGTATCCTAATTCCTATAACTAATGTATTCATCAAATATACATCTAGTAAAACATAAGACACTTGTCATGATCCAACAAACACTTAATAGTGCATAGAAAATGAAATTGTTTATGCAGAACATGACATAACGAATTGTACTGCATTTTGTGGGAAAATGACAAAAATTATAGTTTTTTATTCCACCCAAAAAGCGGGACAACCATTCGCTCGCAATCTTTCGTTTGTGTAAATGATGTAAATACTTTTTATCATCGAAAATAACCTTAGAAGGATTTCTAGCGCTATATTTGATGATGACGATGAGGACATTCATGTCTTTTACAGACAAAAGATCAAGAGCGAGTTTTTGTTTTGTCCCATGGACATCAGTATGAGTCCCATGCATGCCAAAAATAGTACAATCTGACAAGAGGTCTAATTGAAATATTTTTATTGCAGCTCGACATGGTTTCCAAATGCCACCGGGTCACCATCGAGAAAGGATTGTTTCTTGCTGATTATGTTTTAGAAGATCCAAATTCTCATTTCATTTGTTACATTTTTTATTAGCTTGAGCGCTTTAGGGCCGGTCCAAATGATGGGCAACCCGAGCGACCGCCCAGAGCCCACGTCTCCTAGGGGCCCAAATTTTTTGGGATATATATATATATATATATATATATATATATATATATATATATATATATATATATATATATATATATATAATTACCTAAATGATTTTACCGGTCTAAAGTTGGTTCAAACTCAAATTAGCTCAAAGTATAAATAATTTGACTTGTAT